TGGAGAAGGATGTCATGCTTGGTAACGTGGAGGGTCAATGAAAGAGGGGAAGGCCCTCAATGAGATGGATAGACATTGTGGCTGCAGTGATGGGCTCAGGTATAGTAAAGATAGTGAGGCTGGCACAGGACTGGGCAGTGTTTTGTACTGTTGAACATAAAGTTGCTATGCATTGGAGATGACTCAACAGTACATAATAACAACAGCCAGAAGAACAAACAAATCTTTCATGGAAGAAGTGCAGCTGGAATGCTCCTTAGAAATGAGCAAGGCCAAATTTCACCTCAAGTGCTTTGGTCATGTTGTAAGGGACCAGCCCCTGGAGGAGGCTATCATGCTTGGAAAAGTAGAGGGTCAGTAAAAATGGGGAAGGCCCTCAATGGGATAGACTGGCCGAGTGGCTGCAATGATGGGCTCAACATATTGTGAGGATGGTACGATAGTGGGCAGTGTTTCCATCTGTTGTACATAGGGTCACTATCAGCAGGATCCAACTTGATAGCACCTTACACCAACAGCAACAACATCATGTGTTCAGGTTTCTTGGGGAAGGTGAAGGAGACACTCAAGAGTGAAGAGAATTTTGATTAAGTAAACTACATATTTATTATGATTTTTTTCCCTTATTTTTAAGACTTCAAGGAACATGAAGGATTTTTTTTGGCTGTGGTTTTTGAGACTCAAACCCAAGACTTTGCTTAGATGCTGATGCCTGTGCTCTTGAGACTGACATTGAGCAGAAGGGAGTGAGGAAGACAATACTGGAAGCAGGCTGCTTCCTCTATTGGCCCTGGTTCTGGAGCCTTGGTTTTTTTTTTTTTTTTTCTTCTGCCTTAGCACAGTTGTGTGATGAAAAAGCAATGATTAAATTGATTTACGTGGAATAGAATGGATGGAGAGCATCTAATAAAAGGAGGGTTGGTAGCTAAAACTTTAGAACAATAGAATTCTCTGTTCAACTCTTGGAGAAACATTATGAAGACTAAGTGCTGAGTGTGTTGAAGCAAGGTTGCACTTGTTACACGTTGTGCCACTGTTTACAGATGTCATGGATCAGGGAAGCCCCATCACACCCAGCACCTATTGGCAGGAGCAAGTCCATTTGGGGAGCTCCAAGGTCCCAGGAGAGCCGGTCCATGTTCTGGGAGCAACATGTGCTTCAAAACTGCTGGTAACTACCCACAGGCTATAGCAAAGAGATGAACAAGTGGGTCCTGAAAACCAGTTCCTCTCACAGACCAATCCTATTGCTGTGCTGAGTCTGGCTATACATCAACTCATTACAGAGGGAATTTAGAATGGTTCACCCCACCTTTCATCTTTGCCTGCCTTTTGGTTTGAGTGCTCAGTGGGACATAGAACTGGGAAGGGTCAGGGTAGAAAGAAATGTGGCCCAGCCTTTGTTGGAGCCCTGGAGCAGAGTGGGAAGAGGAAACCATGGAGTACAGAGTTAAGGAGGAGTTTGTGGAGCAGAAAATAGGTGCCTGATGGTCACTCTTTTTTTCCCCATATACTCATCCCAAATACAGATTGTGCAAAGACCTCAGAGAGGCTTGCTTTGCCCATTACCTAAAAGTTTTCCTCTAACTAGTCACATTCTAGTTGTTGTTGTTGTTAGCTGCTGTTGAGCCTGTCCATCTTCATAGTGACCCTAAGCACAACAGAATGCAACACTTCCCAGTCCTTCACCTCCACAATCCTTGCTATGCTTCAGCCATCGTTGCAAACACTGTGACAGTCCATCTAATTGAGGGTCTTCTCCTTTTTTGCTGACCCTACACTACCCTTTACCAGGGAGCTCTGATAGCTTAGTGCCTAAGGCACTTGACTGCTAACCAGAAGGCTGGTGGTTCAAAGCCACCAGCCACTCCTCAGAAGGAAGGTTGGGAAATCTTCTTCCATAGTGATACTGCCTCGGAAACCCAAGGATGGGTCACTATGAGTTGAGTCTGACTCAATGGCACATAACAGCAACAACAACAACAGTTAGTGGTTAGTTCATCAGCTCAATGCAATGGTCAGCTCACTGTGGGACATGAATCCTCTTGCCATCCCTGATGATATCCCGTGACTGTCACCAGTAAGCAACTGGAAGCACCACAGGTGCCCAGTACAGTGCCAGTTACTACTTGGTGGCAATTAGGTCTGTTCCTGGGTCCCTGGTTAGCTCCTCTGGAAGATCTAGATTGATGTGTGTTTCTACCTAATTAGGTGCACAGGCTGTTTACTAATAGGCCCTGTAAGGCCCCAGTGACAACTGGCTGTCAGCAGATAGTCTTGGGACTATTTTGGGTGAATAGTTCTCTTCACAAATCTCTCCCAGTCCCAACTCATACCAACCCAAGAAGCTGAACTGTGGTGTATCCACAGAATGCCATGTTGATAACCAGCTGATTGGAATGAGGAGGGATTTCTATGTGCTCCTGTCAGAGAACAAAGTAATGCACAGTGTTTCCTTAAAAGAATGTTCAGTATTCATTAGTTCTACAATGTTCCTCCTAATGAGATAAGAGAAACCAAGTGTAGATTTTGTTGTTGATAGGTGCCGTCAAGTCAGCTCCAACTCATAGTGATTCTATGTACAACAGAACAAAACACTGCCTGGTCCTGCACCAACCACAGAATCCTTGCTGTACCTGACCCCATCTTGTCACGCTCTCTGTCTTGGTATCCATGAGGTGACACTATGTATCTTGTGCCAGTTTCAAGAAAGACATTGAACCCCAGGGATGCACATCCTGCACCGGAAGAAGGAGGCCATGGCGAGTCTCTCTCTCAGTGTTATTATGATGCTTCAGTTCAGCTTGAGGAGACTTCTCTATAAAGCCTGAGATCACATGCTCCGGGGGGATGTTGTCCAAGACGTAGCTCCTTATTTTCTTGCAATTGTATTGGATTCCTCAAGCCATCCCAATAGACTCCTCGTCCTCCTTTCAAGTGTCCCTTCATCTCTGCCCACTCCTCAGATGTAATGAGTATTGGAAGTCATGGTGTTAACCTTCCAGAAAATTCTCACACATTTACAATAAATACAAATGCACTTAGAAATCTATAGTTATATTTTGTGGATTTTTTAAGAATGTAAATTATATCATATGAATATCCTATTCAGTCACTAGCTTTTACCACTCAACCATGTTTTGGAAAGAACTCCATGTCAAAATGGGGAGGTCTACCTTTTTTTTTTTTTTTTTTTACTTTCTCGTAAATTTTCTTAATTGGATTTAAAGTATCTTTTAGATTTCTACATGTGTCATCACGCCATCTGTGAATAATGCCAGTTTTTTCCCCATTTTTTCCCACTCCTTATACCTTTCGTCTCCAGGAGTGTCAATCCAATGTTTATAGAGGCAGAATTGTGCCTTGTTCCTGACTTCAGGGTGAAAGCATCCATATGCCATTTCACCATTAGGTATAATATTTACTATTCTTTTTTATAGATGTGCTTTATCTGATTAAGGGAGATGCAAACTCTTCTCAATTTTGTGAGTGTTTTTGAAGAAATAATGTAAAACTTCTGGCTTTTTTCAAATGCCTTTTTTGCATCTATTAAGATTGTGAGGCTGGCACAGGACCGGGCAGTGTTTTGTTCAGTTGCACCTGGGGTCGCTATGAGTTGGAGCTGACTCGATGACACCTAACAACAGCAACAAGCTTATTTTAAATTTTGGAAGAGCCTCATCTATAGGGGTTATCTTGACCTAGTCATGGCTCAACATGAGCTGAGCTTTTCTCCAGCTCAGCTGTAGAGCAAGAAAAAGTTGCAACAGACTAGCTGAAGGCCATGAGTATCAGAAGGTGGAGACAGAACTTTTCCTGCAGGAATTCTCAGAGACTTCACAGGTTTAGGTCCTCCTCTTTGTCCTTTTCCTCACCATCTACACTATGGCCCTCTGTGGAAGCTCTCTCAATGTTACAGCTATTACCTTCAGCTCTAGGCTCCACACCACTATGTACTTCTTCCTGGTCAATTTGGCTGTGTTGGATGTGGCCTATGCATGCACTGTGGTGCCCAAGCTGCTGGAGATGCTGGTGGCAGAGAAGAGAACCATCTCCTACGAAGGCTGCATGACACAGATGTACTTCCTGTCATGGTCTGTGGCTGCAGAGGTGCTGCTCTTCACTGCCATGGCCTACGACTTTTTTGTGGCCATCTGCCAGCCCCTGCACTATAGCTCCAGGGTGAGTCCCCAGGTGTGCGTGACACTGGCCATAGCTGTGTGGAGCAACAGTGTGCTTGGCACTGGGGTCAATACCTGCCTGATGTCAAGGCTAACCTTCTGTGGGCCCAACATCATAGACCACTTCTTCTGTGAGATCCTCCCACTTCTCCTGCTCCCCTGTTCCTCCACATACATGAATGACCTCATAACTGCTGTGGCAGCCATCTTCTCTGCCGTGTTGAACTTCTTGCTCACCACGGTGTCCTACAGCTTCATCATCTCCACCATCCTGAAGATCCCACAGCCAAGGGGAAGCACTGTGCCTTCTGCACCTGCTCCTCTCACCTCATGGTCTTCACCACGTACTACTCCACTGTCATCTCCACATGCCTGTACCCAGGCTCCAGCTACTCTCCAGAGATGCACAAAGGCATGGATGTGCTTTACTCCACAGTTAGTCTCACACTGAATGCATTCATCTACACCCTCAGGAACAAAGATGTCAAGGCAGCCCTCAAGAAATTCTTTACATTCTTAGCACAAAAACTGTAATTATATTGCTTAATGTTAAGAAGGGCAGCTCAGAGAAGCTGAAACTTACAAGTTATTATCACCTAAAATGTATTCTTTAAGTGCCATATATACTGGGAAACAAAATCTAAATCAATCTACACAGTGTCTCTCATTTAGCAACTTGTGCTGTACAACAAAACCAAAACCAAACTCACTGCCGACAAGTTGGATCTGACTCATAGTAACCCTTCCTTGGGACTCTGAGGCAGTATCACTACGGAAGTAGATTGCCCAATCTTCCTTCCGAGGAGTGGCTTGTGGGTTTGAACCACCAGCCTTCTGGTTAGCAGTCAAATGCCTTAAATATGTGCTGTAGATAATCTTGAATTTGTTGTTAGTTGGGTTGGGTCACAATGTTATGTATTTTTTGGGGTGGGGGCATTTAACAAGCACAGAGCATAAATACATAGATATTTGCATTAATTCCTGGAAATAGATGTATGCTTTGTGATAATGCAAAGTGAAGGATGGCCCATATTTGATTCAATCATAGGAATATCACCAGCCTCAACAGTTCAATAGTGAGATCAGTAACAGCCTCAGAGGTTCATGGGCTCCTCTCAAAGGCCCATCACAAATGTGTTCTCCAGACATGCCATGTGCCAGATCATGGGTCTGTTACCCTCGTTCTTAGCTGAGCACTTCTCAAGGACCCAGCTTCTTTTTCAGTTATTGCCACAACTCCAGAATTCAACACTGAACCTACCTTATACTCTACTACTAACAACTAAGTGATGGATGAATGAGCTTCAAGATCAACAGGTTAAAACACATATTTTTAAATGTAAGCAAATCCTAAAAGTTTAGTGGAATTCCATTCATCACCTAATACATTCTAGATTAATTAATAAAGGCACATGATATATTAGGGGGAAAAAATCTAGATTAAATTAAGAACTTTCCCTGGGGAAGACTCACATCAACTTATCTTCTGCTACCTAAAAATGATCGAAACCAAGTTTTCACTCTCTCATGTATAAGTTGTTTCCCCAGATAAACATCTTAGCAATTGCATTGCTAATTGGCCATTTTCAAAGTGACTAACATACTTGTTTTCCTACTAATTAATTATTCTAAAACTGCAAACAAGAGGTGATGAGGTATCAGTATTCAAAATGAAATAATTCCCATGTACCTGGGTGTTTTTGAGGAAGATAAATGTAGCACAATGTTTCTGATATTAGAGAGACCTTGGGGACTGCAGAATGCAGACTGGGACCTCACCTGGCACCAACCTACCCTTTTCCAGCCACCTGCAGATCATACCCCACTCAGGGGTTGCCTCCAACAATAGCATTTCTGCCAGCATAAGGCATTTGGGTCTCACCCACAAGAACATGGGGGGGGTTAAGGAAGAATAATGGCATAAGTCTGATGGCCCCTCTGTGGAGCAACAGCACCCTTCGTGAAGGACAGCTCCTCTCGCTGACTGTGCTGGATTACCTTTTATCATGGGTCACAGCCAGGGCTGACGTTATCTCTGGGAGATCCAGAGCAGGACTCCCAAGGGTGTGGAGGCTTCCATAGTTATATCACATGGCCAGTGCTGCCCCTGTTTATACCAGGGCCACCTGCTGCCAGCTATGTCTCTGGACCCCTGAGCAGCAGATCATGGCTGTGCTGGAGCACTTGACTGGGTGAGGGAAGGGTCCTCTACTCTGGGCTAAGGGACAAGGACACGTCCTCACTGCAAGGGGCAGGGACTTCACTGGGGGCATGGACACTGGCAGTGAATAGTTGACCTATTTTGGAGGCTTGTCTGGGATATTTCATGAGATGGAAAACACCTTGATATGAATTTCTTTAAAATACTGTGCTGAGCCTTTTCCCTGCCTTGGTGGTAATTACTTTAGAGAGAATCATTTCACCATGACCCAGGGTCCTCCTAATGTCAGAAGGACATAAGTAAGTTTAGTGAGAAGTGTGACTTCTAATATAAAGAAGAAGTGGATAATGGAAAAAGCAGTTTGGATTGGGTGGCCAACCTGGTGGGTTCTGCAGCTCAGGGAACAAGGTGGCTGGGAGTGGGGGACCAGGTCGGGGAGGAAGAGCATGGCCACAACGCTTGCTCCTTCTCTGTGAGTTTCTGTCTGTCTGTTTCTCTTTCTCTGTACCTCTGTGTTTGTCTGTCTCTCTGTGTCCCTTTCTCTGTGACTGTCTGTGTGTCTCTGTTCCTTTTCTGTGTCTGTATGTTTGTCACTCTTTGTCCTCTTCCCAGTCTCTGCAAGAAATGCACCCCTGAATGCCCAGAGCAGCCCAGGTAGGGGCTGATCACACTGACAGTGACCTTGAAATGGTAAATTTAGCTAAGGTCACTGTCATGGTTACCAGTATCACCATAACTATAAGTTTATAACAGAACTGTGGCTATGATCACTGTCAGTGTGAACAGCATGACTGTGACTGGAACTAGCAAAGGTAAGTCTAACTAAGGTCATTGTCACTGTGACCAGCATGATGGTAATTGCAACTACCTAAGGTAAGTGTAACTTGCTCCTCCCCTACCTGGTCCCCCACTCCCAGCCACCTTGTTCCCTGAGCTGCAGAACCCATCAGGTAAAAGGTGAAAAAGGAGGTGTGTCATTCATGGAGATCTAACACTTTCTAGCCTTGAACAGTGTCCAGCACCAGCAGCAGGCTGCTTGAAGGTTTATTCTACAAATGGTGTGTTCCTGTTCCTTGAAAGGCAACATCTGCCTCTCCTCTGCCCTCCCCTACTACCTTCCCTCTGTGGCCTCTCCTCTGCCATATTTCTATGGTCTCATTGTCTTTCATTTTGTCAATTCTATTACCCACCTAAGGTGTCTTGGATGTTGGGTGTAAATCTGGTACCCGACACAATGACCAGAGCCTCCCCTCTGACTATTGTGTAGGGTGGAGGGTTGCTGCCTTGGGGCACGCACCAGTGTGGAGGCACTATGAGTGGGTCACAATCAAGCACTTGAAAGCACTTGGGAAAAGGAACATCCTCAGTGTTGGTCCATCATTATACACCCAAATCTCCACCAGGTATCTGTCTGCTCTTTGCTTGCTTTTTCCCTTCATTAGTAAGCCAAAAATATGAATGGGACCTTTAAAATCTCTTCTGTCCCTTCCATGAAGTGTCTCTCACTAAATAGAGTTGGTCATTTTTTACTTTTCAGTAAAAGATCAAATTCATTGTCTCTGACTAGGAAGTGGCACTCCCTGAGAATCCCCAGCTGATGCTTCCCACCTGCCACCCATGGCCCTGGGGAATGG